CGCGTCAAAGAACATGAGCAATGTTAGAAAAAAGAAACAGAGGTCTTCTGTTCTCAAAGGTTGTCCGAAAAATCACACTTTCATTTTTCTGCTGCCAAAATTTCAAAAACATCTTCCATTGGAGAACTGGATTTTCTAGAGGCATTTCACATTCATAAAATCTTTCTGTTCTAGTTAACGATCCTAATTCCAATCCAAATTTGCCTTCGGCTTTTAGAGAAATTATGTTTGTTCTGTTTCGCCAACAGATGGCGCCACTGCTTATTCTTGTCCAGCTTTCTTATCTTAGCTAATCATTATTTCCTATCTTGTCATTTGCGGTTTGCAGCTGAAGATGATGGTTCGGTAAAACCATGAAACTAGTCCTGTGAAAATTTGTAGGTATAACGCTGATTTTTGTTGTTTGACTTCTGAATTAGTATTTATTCGGCGTGTTATTGTGTCTTAAGAAATTGTCTGTCTACGGAATTAAAGAGAAAGTATTAGCACAAAAAAGGCAACTTAACCAACTTGCACTAAAAGCAATGTTTAATGAAACAAATAAATATGAAGCTTTTTTTAAAATTGTGATTCCCTTAAGGTCATAAATGCTTCATTATTTTATATCGGGTTTTAATTAAAGTTTCCCACTACCGCAAATATCATTTGCGTAAACAGTTCATGCCGTGTTTAATCACATTTTGTCAATCAATTTGTGACATTTGAAAAAAATCCTTGCTTTAGAATACGGTTATGAAATTTGTAAAAAAAAATCATCAAGTATCTTTAAGTACAAGGCGTCTGAAATTGAATTATCATCCTATCAGATTAGAACTTCCATTTATTTTCAGTTCTGTTACAAAAAGTCAATTACAGTATGTCACCAAATCATGTGTACAGCTTTAAATACTAATGTTGTACGATATGATACTGTGAAGGTTTAGTACCGAAAGTTCAAAAACAAGGAGTAAGACATTCAAGAAGCAGAGCACTCTGGCTGTCCTACTGATGTTGATGAGGCTGCTTGCAAGATCTTGTGGAAGAAGATTAGTATGCAACCACTCGAGAGCTCTATGGAGTTAGACGTTAGTGCCATGTCCATTAATCGCTATGCTTCGCATAAACTTGATGTAAAAGTTTAATCGCTTGGAGCCGACTCTGATAAGGACAGACGTGTTACAGCCTGCACTAATCTGCTTGAATATCAACGCAAAGACAAAGTTTTGGACCGGATCATCACTCGTGATGAAAAGATTTAATTCAACAATACAGGCCGAAAAGGAGGTTGCTCAGCGCCCGATGAGCCATCAGCAGCATTGCAAAGTGCAATTTGACTAACAAAAAAATCATGCTTTGTATCTAGTGGGATTGCCATGGTATTATCCACAAAGAGTATCTGGGAAAAGGTAAAACTCTCGACAAATATGGTGTTCAGAGAGATGCTAGTCAGTGTTGACACTGCTATCAAGGAAAAACATTGAACTGAGTTCTGGTGCAAAAAGGTAATGTTTCATCAAGATAATACAAGACTACATGTGTCTGCATTCACCAGCTGAACTATATATAGACTCAAATGGGATCTTTTGCCACATCCACTATATAGCCCCGACATCGCTCCTGCAGACTTCTTTTTCACATTCTACATCTTGCTAGTGCTATCTTCCATTCTGCACAGGACATCCAAAATGATGTTGATCTGTTTTTGAACTTCTCCCCTGAAACTCCACCGCGTTTCTGGGGAGAAGACTTAGAAAAACTACCAAAACTTGGCAGAAAATCAGATTTGGGTGGTGACTGGTACCCACCCTAAACAGACCACTTTCCCCGTGTTTTCCCCCCTAACTTTAAGAAAGTTTTTTAGCAAAAACATGTCATCTTACTAGATTTAAACTGATGGTCTAATATCTGGAATCACTCACATCCCGATAAGTACGGATTTCAAATTTTGTATTGTATACATAAAATGGAAGTAAGCTGTAACAGTTACTCTAAATGTAACTGAAAAGCCTTTCATATAAATGGCAAGACATGACTGTCTATTAGTTACAAAAAAATATTCTCTTTCTCTTTAGCTTTATTTTTTAGCAAAAAAAATATTCTCTTTTGTATACGTTTAATTTTCTTGCAATATTTTGATGAAAACTTATGTCCTTATATAACACACTATCTAATTTTTTTTTTAGTCAACCGAACATGTATTCAAGCCTAAAACTGTGTGTATTGGTACATATGGCCACCTGTATTTTCCAGTTACAACACATTTTACATTAAATTTTCAATACATTCACACTAATCTCTTAACAAAGCACAATAATATATAAAATGATTGACACTTACTGATTCTACGTCTCTCCGCCATATACTCCCACATTGTCCATTACATTCTGGACATGGTCTGCACATGGCATAGCCCCCACATTCACTACAATCTAAACTAATATGATCATCATACCAACTCACTCCACAGCTGTAAAAAAAAAAATTACATTTAAGTATACCAAATTAGTATATTAAACAACTGCAACCAATAAATTTTATTTGATAAATACTGTTTTCTTTTTGTTACTTCAGTATTTGTTTTTAATTCAGTATCAAGCATTCAAGTATGTAAAACTTTTTATATTAAATTGTTTTCTCTTAACCGAAATCAATATCAGCTTTTCAATAGTTTTCTTATTACTCAAGTATGCATTTAAATGTTTTTTTAAATGTAAAACTGAAAAATACATTTTAAAACTATAAAGCAAGGTTTTATTATGCACTGAAATAAATGTGTATTAACATGAAAACCCAAATATTTCGATAAATAATATACATTACAAAGTCTTTAATCCGGAATGATCTATAATCCGGACCTCAAAGCTACAAACTTTCTGTGAATACTTTTACGCATGCACGTTTAATGTATAAAGAACGGTTAAATTGGCTAAAATTACCTAATTATCTATTTCAGTTAATATTGCAGATTGCATTGTTCCTTAATCTTCTAATTGGATCCGGTTTATTATTTTGCAAGTTAGAGCAATTATAAAAGTAGCTTGAACTTCGATTATGTCAAAAAGAGTTCCGATTGGAGCTGTAAACTACAAAGCAAAAGCGTTTTCTATGTCATCAAAAAAGTGAATTACTGCAAGAAATGGATAAAGGCATGAAGAAGTGACAGAGAGGTGTGAAACAAAAAAATTTCGATTGACGAGTTAGTCCGTATTCTCGGCACAGCAATTACAGGACTTGAACAGCGAACTTTGTAACTGAACAAGAATTATGTCTGTTTATAGAATTAAAGAGAAAGTATTAGCACACAAAGCGAAGCAACTTAAACAACCTGCATTGAAAGAAATGTTTAATAAAGTAAACAAATATTAAGCTTTTTTTTGTAAATTTTAATAACCCTTTAGATCATAATTGCTCTTTATTTCATAAATTATGGTTTCATATTTTTAATTTTATAATTTCTGCATGCCATCTTACGAGATTTAAATTGATGATCTATAATCCCGAAAAATCCCTAATCCAGAATCGCCTAAGACCCGACGAAGTCCGGATTAAAAACTTTGTACTGTATTACAAAAATTTATAATAAATTATTTAAAATCTAACAACATATCTAGAATTATAACAATAGCCATATACATAAATACTTTATTATTTTATTTATATTAATTTTTTGAGCGACACTACCTCATATCTAACTACAAGGTACTTTACTTCACCACTATACTGTAAAATATTTTGGTTATGTATTTACTCAAAATGTGTTATTAATTCATGACTCAAGACATATGCAATCATCAGTTCCAATATCTGCTCAACAAATCTCCAAGCCCAAGAATTTAAAAGAAATAAAAATCAAGAATTTGTCAATATATTGGTTATAACTTTTACTGCACAGCACTGGAACTGGAATTTGAAATAAATATGTCTTAAATTTTGTGGGTGACTCAATTCTATTCAAGTAATTTTTTTTTTTTTTTTTTTCCTACAAAATTTGATATGCAATTTTTCCGCATTATCTTTCCAATTTTGAAAGACATTTTACATGGCAGTAGTAAACAAGCATGTTTGTAATTACAATAAAAGTGATAAATATTACAACTCAGTTCGCAAGATGTTTGGAAATGTTGCTATTCCTATTACACATGAAATCAATATTTTTGTTATTTATAATTTAATAATTTTGAATGAATCAAAGTCAAAATAAAGTCAGACTATGACATGAAAGTTATGATATTTTAAAATATGCATTTAATGAAATTTAGATCGCTAGTAATAATCAGATGCTTTTTAATAACTAGATGCTTTACAGTAAATTTAATACTGCTAGAGGAAAGATAAATTCAGTAAAGTTTTTTGTACATGCAAGATACTCTATGTTCAAACATTCATTTAAAATTAAAAGTTGACAGCATTTTTAACAAAGATGCAATGCATGGGAGCAATATCTTTATGTGTTAAACATATTCTGAAGATTATAGCTAACACAAGATTAATGATACCTGGAAAGATTATGGTACACAATTTAAACATTAATTTTAATAGCTCATTCTTTGGTTGACACTTCAGGATTTTACACAATTATTAATAACCTTAAACAGTATGAAACACATGTATAAAATTTCATTAAAATGTATTTGCGTCTAATATACATTTATATTTCAAAAGTCAAAGGAATATGCAGAAGAAAAAATATTTACTTAGAACAGGAATAATACTGTCTTTTAAGACCTTCAAGTGTTAACATATCTGAAGTATCATGTTGCAGATTATCATTTTCAAATTCTAAATTCTCTTTTTTCTCTTCACTTGAGCAGTCTACCACCTGCTGGAGAGACTCACTCTTTTCATTCCTGTATGAAAAATGCATTATGTTCAGTTTGGAATCTAGAAAAGAAATAAAGCTATATAAATATATGTACACAGAAAACTGTTTTAAACATATTGTTTCAAACAAGATAATATAGGTATTTGACTTCTATGTGAAAACTGAAGAAAATAGAAAAGCAATTTCAAATAACTGAAAATTTAACTTTAATAAAAAATAAATAAAAGTTATAATAATTTCAGTTAATATAGATCTGTAGTTTAACATACAATTTATATTTCAACATGTCAAAATCCGAAGAATCGGATTAAAATCAAATCAAAGAATAATCAAAGATTCCGTAACAAAATACATTAAGTCTCTGAAAATCGTGATTATGAACATAAGCACGCTTTGACAAGTTTCCTTGCATAGATTTCATTTAGTATTAAAAAAAATAAAGTTAATTTATAAATTAGATGCCAAACTTTATATTTTAATTATAATACACTAAAATGTTTCCTCCCCCCCATTAGCTTTCAATATTATTTCATTCATATAATATATTAACTATGAAAATTAATGTATTTCAATATGCAAATAGAAAATCAAATATTTTAAATAGTTTAATAATAAATGTTATTTCAATTGTGATTCAAATCATAATGCACAACAAAACATTTCCAAATTTCTAAGGTTTGGTTTAAAGATTATGACAAAGCAGACTAGGGATATCTGCCTACAGGGAAGGGTGTCTTCAAGAAGGACTTCAAGAAAAACTTTCTCGTATACAGGTCACATGAGGAAAATCACAAAAACTCCCATGACATCAGGATATTGACCTAGAATATAACCCAGGTCAAAACTACCAATGTTTAGAGACTTTAACCACTCAGTCGCTAGTGGACCCTCTAATTACAATTACAACAAACTTTTTTAATAATAAATAATGCTCAGAAGACATTTTTAATAATGAAATAAAATTTAAAAACTTCAAATAATATTCATTACAAATTACACATGACAATTTTGAATTACAGAGATACTCAATTTAAAGTGCTTATTACATTCATAAAACACTCAAAATTAAAAAAATTCAAATTCAGCCCTGAAGTAGCTTTAAACCAGAGCTATAATTATTTGAAAAATTAGGAGGACATTTTTGATAATCTTAGATAAAGTAAGATTAAACATGCAAATAGGACAAATTAAATCAATGAAATGAAAGGCATCGACTGACTGATACAGTTTCTATTTTACTGAAATATATAAATTCGTCAATTTTACTTTTTATTCATTACTTTTATGCCTAATCCCAACATTTTTTTTTTTTTAAACAAAATATATTTGAGAAATTATGATGGATACCTGTATTTCTACGAAATTCTGAAAAATACTATTTACACTCTCAGAACCTACCTTTGCTACCTCAGTTTGAGAAATTTTATCTAGTTCAAGCCTCAAACAAGATGAGTTTGGGTATTTTATTCACTACTGGTCATTAATATTTTTTAATCAATGTACATTTAATTATAAATTATTTTATTTTTATTTATCTTTCCCAACAGCCTTACAAAGGGAGTCAGCACTTATAATTTTTTAAATTGTAATTAATTGCCTTGGTTTAAACCAGTTAATTACAAGATTTCTATTAAAATCTGGCCATAACATCCAAGAAACTCAAGTACAAGCCAATTTAGATTCCACACCTTCTCATTCAATATTAATTCAAATAACTAATATTCAACAGAAAAATTTAAAAATTCCAATGCTTTTCAGACAAGATCTTATTATACCAAGTTTAACTATTCATAGCATGATAAATAAAAAGTAAATGACAAAATTAAAATTACAAAATTAACAGAATATAGGGAAATATTTTGCTTACTCTATGCACAAATTTATTTATACACGAAAGAAATCTCTTTTCAATGCTTAAGTGTTCACGTTTTGTTTTTTTTTAAAGCTTTTCAGTTAAAGTGGCTAATGCATCAACAGAAATTTGATTTATTTTAGTCAGTTTGTGAACGCAGCAGCATTTGAATCAAAAGCAATCACATAGCCTGCTTTTAATTAATCAACAAAATATTGTACAATTATCAGAAGTTTGGAGAATAAAGTATTTTACTTACTATGCACCATGATATAAGTCAAATTTTCTACGAATTTCAATTGTTTACAGAACGCTCTTTGAAGGTACGATAACCTCTGCTGACAGCGGCACTCGCATAAATTGCTACAGTTCAAGGAATGGATCGTCGCGTCTTTCAACCCAACGACAACAGCAGTCAAAAACTGCGCCTACGCTACGCATGCGTAAATTGTTTGACTGGGCTATGATTGTGGAGAAAAACGTTTACTACTGGTTCATTTACTCGTAGACATACGTGGCTTATTCACAAATAATGAGGCTGAGCACTGCAGCTAATTTCAAAACATATTTTTGAAGATAATTATCATGGCATTCTTTACCGCGTATCTGGAATTTCGAATATTGATCCACATCCAATAGTAAAAATAGTTCTCATTCAATTAGAAGAATAAAGTCATTTGAATTGACATCCATCGCCAGTTTGAATATAGCCATAAAAGAGAATGCGTAATTGAAAGTGAAAGAATGAATTTATATTATTACGAAGGACCCTATGGTTATCTGCCTAAAGGAGATGTTTTCGTGGAGAATTTTTTTAAAAAGAAATTGGTGTCACACTTGGAAAAAACTACACAAATATCCATGCATCCAGCACGAGTGCTGGGTGCTTTGAACCTCAGATGAACAATCAGAGTCCAGCGATCTTAACCACTGGGACGCTGGTAAGCTTGATAGTGGACTTTTTCGGAAGAGCTTTAACATTTTTCATTCAAAGACTTTTAAAAATTGTATCCATTATGTAATTAATACTGGAGCGATTCGGTTTCTTTTAACAGAATATGTCCCTGTTCTAAAAAGATCATTTGGAAAGCTATCCTTTATCAGTGCGTAAACTTTCGTCATGAATCCATGCAGGGCCTGGTTATCTATCACCTAGGAGTACAATCGTCAACGGCCTCAAATCATCTTAAAACATATAGTTTGTTTTTCCTTTGTGAAAATACGGAAAGTTTTCAAAGAACTCCTTAAAAAGGTTTGGTTTGGTTTATTTAATTATGGCAAAGCACACTAGGGCTATCTGCCTAAGGGGAGGGATGCCTTCGTAGAGGACTTTCTAAGGGAAACTGGCTCGTATACACGTTACACATGGGGAAAACCACGAAAACGCCCATGCAGCCAGCCCGTTCGCGGGATTCGAACCTCGGACCGAACGACCAGTGTTCAGAGACTTTGCCGCTCTGCCACTAGTGGGCCCCCTCCCTAAAAAGATTCATGTGCCTAGAATTCTGAAGTGTTTACACCTGTTCTGAACTCTTGACATTTTCTGGTATTTCAAGTCAAATCATTCTTGGCAGAAGCAGAACAATTTGACAAATCTACAGAAAGTCTAACGGCTTCGAAAGTAAACGAATAGTTATGTCTTATCCAGTCTTGGATTATAATCGTTCAATACAGTGGTTTCAAAATAGCGGCCCCTAATAGACTGCGGCCTATAAATCAATTTTTTTCTAATTTAATTAGCATTATTATGGCAAGAATTTGAAAAAAGATTAAAGATTAATGATTTTTGGCCTGATTTTACATTTTCAGAGCCATTAAAAATGAAATAATGCTCAAAATTTACAAAGAGCTAATTAATTTACACTGATATAAGTCTTATTCTAAGATTAGATGCGGATTTGATGGACTTTTTTTTTTCGCATCTGTCAAAAAATTATCAGCTATGAGTTTTTGCAATAAGAATAATCGCTTTTTTGATGTCTTTTCTGTAGTTGAAAATTTATAAGAAAAAACGATCTGTTTCGCCCAACGAGCATCTATAATTTGTGATGTTTTCTAGAAATTTTTCTTCGAGGCCACTAAAGTTATCAAAATTGAAATGCAATGAAGTTGTAGATGAAAAAATGAAGTTGTAGATTTAGAAATAAAGAAGCTTATAACTATTTACATGCAAATATGCATACACAGAAAAACATGTATTTGCATATTTCATTACCTTTTATATATATGTATTTTATATGCATCAAGGAAAAATTAAAAGATAACATGTTGTCACTATTTATTCTCAAGATTTGTATCGCTTGGAAAGCTGTTACAGGTTTTTTTTTTTAGTTAAAATTTATTTAATAGTTAATGCTAGATTAATACTCATTAGAATTACTTGAAATAAATGTCAAATCTAAAAATTTAATATTTAGCTATCAATATCTTTTATTAAATGTAAGCAACAGAAATTTCCTGCAGATGACCAACCTCTGTATTTCAGACAGGAAACGCCTTTGACACACGCAATATTAATTTTATAATGTTTTAATTAAAAAAACTCTAGAAGTCAAATACTATGATCCCAGAGACAAATAGGATCCATTATCTGCGGGTGGTGACGGTGGTGATTGCACTGTAAAACCAGCGCGCACCTAGGACTTAATACATAATTTTTTTATAGCAGTGAAAACATGGGAACGTACATAATGAGGATAAAAAAACCTCGGTGATTTTTTTTAATAATGTCAGATAACAAAGCTACTTTCTGTGAAATTGTTCAAATCATGTTCCATCTTTCATAAACAAAATAAAGAAAATAATAAAAAGATATACGTGCGAAACTGCACGTTTCGCACGTATATCTTTTTCTGTGAAGTTTCTCCCTTGAGCTACAAAATGTACACCGCGGGGATTTGCATTTGGCGTGTGTTTCACGTTCTTTAGTTTCTTTTCGTCTGGCACGTGAAGTTTGTAGTTTTTTTATATTAATAGGGAGGCTTGGTCCACCAGTGGCCGAGCGGTAAAAGCCGCTGAACACTGGTAGTTCGCTCAGGGGTTCGAGTCCCGGCGAACGGGCTGGCTGCATGGGCGTTTTCGTGGTTTTCCCCATGTGTAACGTGGATACGAGCCAGTTTCCCTTAAAAATATCTCCACGGGACATCCCTCCCTTTCCGTGTAGTGCCCAAGGGCGGAGCACGTAATAAGCGAAATAGGGAGGCTTGGTCTTTTTCGCTTTTGTACGGATCCTTTATTTTCCTTTTGTATTATTCATCGTTTGAAATGGATACAATCAACAGTATTTTTAAATTGGGATCACTTTCTGGAAGCATTCGATATGTAAGGAACGAATTTCTAATGGTGAAATCAACAAAATGAAAATAAATTCAATGCCACCATTTATACTTTTTGTCAATTTCATATAAATTTTTTATTGGTCAAAGTAGTCCCACATAACCCATATTTTTATTATAATTCATAATTGCCTTTGGACATTGAATTTGAACTTTTTTGTCCAGTTTTTTTTCCTTTTCTTTCTACAGTGGATGGTATGATGGGTTCGACTACGCTAGATAAAATAGTAACACATCTTTTGTCATCACTTACTGCCCAGTCAAAGTCACCCAGTTTTAATTTCTTATCTTCCATGAGTGTTTTCGAAAGGTTTTTTTTTTTTTTAAGTTCATAAGATACAAAAAAAATTATCCATGTACACCCCATGATTTTTACCAAACAACAGTTCATTTAGTATTTTTACCCCTCTTTCACTGAGATTTACTTTTCGACTTCTGGGTTTTACTAGTATAAATTTCAAATTTACAAGCTTAGCCGCCTTCATTGCATCGCATTCACAGTTAATACCGTGTTTGATCGGATTTTTTTTAGACAAATATTGTTTTGGTGAAATTCTTACATTTGAAACGAATCATGGCTTTGTCAATCGAATGATTTTTTCGGGTCTAAACAGATTATCGAATTTTTCCGACAAATGAGTCAATAGAGGCCGAATTTTATACAGTTTGTCAAACGTTTTGTCCTCTTTTTTGGCATTAGGCTGTTATCATTCAAGTGCAAAATGCCTAAAATCCATGAACTTTTACTGCCATTTGCTTCCCCACACAAGATTCCTTCAATATTTCGTTAGTCGACAAGAAATCTCGATAGTATGTTTTTCCTGAAAAAATAATTATATCTCGAAGAGATATAGGTGAAAATGGCTTACTTTTTTGAGTTGCATATAAAATGGTTTCAAAAATTAATTTTTCTAAGAATGAACTAATAAAAAAGACAAATATATCTTCCATAGGTTTTGGTTCTTCTATAGAGGTAATTTTTTCAGTTGGGCCATAATCCTCAGAAAATTCAGGAATTGATTTAACTGCATTCCATGTTTTACATATTACCTGTGCGATTCTGGAAATTTATATCATTTTCTGACCGATTATCAGTTTCATTTTCTAAATTTTCATAAGCAGGAGGGAAGGTAGTAAGGGAGTGTTTCCCTTTCCATAACTTTCATCCTCATGGACCACCGATTCTGGGTCTGAATGTAGTTCAAGTAAAGCTAATGCATCAGCTATTTCTAGCCTTTCGAGAGGCATTTTAAATCTTAGCAGTAAAAGAAGATGTTTATAAAATATTTTAAATTTAAATAAAACGGTTACGCAATTTTTTTTAATTATAGGAAAATATATTTACATTATATTTAAATCACACAAAATAATTTATAAAACCACTGGGCAGGTGCACGTATTGTTTAGTAATAAAATAACTGTGCTTTCAATCCCTCTCATAACCGGGTAAAAATAAACACTCCTCTTTGAGAGCAGCAAACAACATTGTAAAGACCAGTGGTTTCAGGGCGCAACCATTGAACCACTAGACACTTGAGCAATGTGATGCTCACAAAGATCTAGGGGTTGTTCAGTGGTCGCACCCTAAAACCACAAAGCAAATGACATAAATACGCAGAGGTTGTTCATTATGTACCTTAATTATTGCTATATTTTTATTGTTTATGATAAAAATGATGATGTGCGATGAATAACTTTTGAAATTTAAAGAGTTTATATAAAAGGAAGTTATTTTGCCTCATTGAAAATTAATTTTAAAAGGCCTCCGATTTGAAGTACTAAGACCTCAAAAATGTATGGTTCTAGTCATTTCGTGTTCGAGGTTAAAAGATAAGTAATCAATAGATTTTCACTCAATTTCGGAAAGATGAGGGAAAAAATTCGAAAATTTGTGGTTTCACGGCGCTATCACTGCTTGTCAAGGGGATAAATATAAATAGGCATTTTTTCCTTTGAATCATTAATATTACTGCTAATGGATGTTTCGATAAATTTAGTAAATAAAATTTAGTTAAAAAAATTTCTTAAAAAACTTTTTATTCTGGTTAAAAAATTAAAATAGGGCCGTCACGTTA